AATTGTTGCTTATGACTTTGAGGCTCTGCCAAAGACTAGCTCTATATTAAATGGACTTTACTAGCTGACAGAATAACTTCTTGCTTATACTTCAGTCTTTCTGTGACCTCTCCCTCCTTGAGGGATTCACGCAAGGTGTAACAAGAAACTACATAATTTTAGTTATCTATTGGCGGGCACAACACATTCTCTTGACTTCCATGAGTATCCTGCCAAGGGACTCAGACTAGGTATTTGATGTCTAGAATAGCAATGAGCAGAACTGGGAAATCCTGATCCTCCTCAGTCCCTGCAGTGAGAAGAATTTCTGCCTTGCCTTCTAAGGTTCTCCTTGGGCACTGGAGGCTGTGGGACCATCAAATACTCCCTTCCACATGCAAACATGGTCACAGGAGGCCGTGGAATGTTCTATCCAACTTCAATTAGCCTGCAAAAGCAGTTAGAGCCAAGAAGTATTGCTTTTGATTCTGGCAGTGGTATTCCAAAGGAGAGCAATTAGTGGAAGTTTGAAGAGTCAACAAAGAAAAGCCAAGCAATGAGAGCTCTTTCGCCTAGAAAAAAATGAGAGAGAAGGACTTTCCATGAAGTAAAATGTGTGAAAGCATATCTGCGTGGGAGCTGTCTGGCCACTTTTTTCCTTTTTTCAAGGATGGCCCAAAAAAGGAATATTTTATTTTAGGCTAACTAGTCCTTCTAGTTCTAAGAATCAACAGGTCTCTGAGGCCCCCCTGCAGGTGCTTCCACCCCACCACCTCCAGGTTTGCCGTGGGTCAGACTGACCACAGTCCTCAAGGTGGCTGGAACCAGCTTATTTTAGGGTATTCATGGTCAAATGATCGACTGGCTATGGACCATTAGCAAGGTTTGGCCAAAAGTTCTCAGAAACTGTTATATTATTAGCCCTGTGTTTGGGATTTTGGAAGAAAGCGAAGTTATGAGAAGGAATGCGGTAAACTACCAGAATACTAATACAGCCTGCCAGCACCTTTCACTCAAGGCAAAGGAAAAAGCTTCTTTGCTCTACAGTTTTTTATCTGGGTGTTTTCAGTTTATCGTGGAAAATCAGTTACCCCAGTGTCTACTGCACAGCAATTGTCTTCCAACTCTGTTTTTGCTCATTTGTAACAATATTGTGTATTAATGAATGGAGTGAAAAAAAGACAAACTGCGTTGTTTGCATTTCTCCATTCACTATTATTTGAACAAAGATTGATAAGGTATAAAGTTTCAAGAATAATATAACTAGAAGACTTCTATTAACAGATCAACATTACCCAACTAAGATATATACGAGCTACATATGTAATTTTTTTTTTTTTTTGAGACAGGGTCTTACTCTGTCACCCAGACTAGAGTGCAGTGGCCTGAGCATAGCTCACTGCAGTCTCAAACTCCTGGGCACAAGCAATCCTTTCACCTCAGCCTCCTAAGTAGCTAGGGCTACAGGCACGTGCCACTGCACCCAGCTAATTTTTGTATTTGTTTGTAGAGATGGGGTCTCACAATGTTGCCCAGGCTGGTCTGAACTCCTGGTTTCAAGCAATCCTCCTGCCTCAGCCTCCCAAAGTGTTGGGATTATAGGCATGAGCCAACTCACCCACCCCCACATATGTAATTTTTAATTTTCTAATAGCCACATTAATAAAAGTAAAATGAAACCTGTGAAAATAATTTAAGATATTATTATTTAAGCCACTACTCCAAGATATCATTTCAACATGTAATTGATACAAAAATTATCAATGGGATATTTTATATTTTTGTTTCATACGAAGTCATTGAAATCCGGTGTGTATTTTGCTCTTACAGCTCAATTCGGACTGGCCGCACTGCAAGTGCTCAGTAGCCACGTGTGGCCAGTGGCTACTGTGTTGAGCAGTGCAACTGTAAAGATAAACATTAATAATTTGTGAGTTGTATTAGAAAGAATAGACCAGACAGGATGAAAATCTTAAATTATTTTGAGGAAGGTGAGAACAAGACTAGACAGTTTTTATGAGGTACATTTCTGTATGTGAGAAAACTGTAAATATCTTCTAAGCAATGAATCAACGTGAAAAATGTTATCCCTTAGCAAATGCAGGCTCATATTACTTGCAGAACTGGGAGTCACAGTCTTCATTTGATGGTGTGGGTGAGAAGGCTCTGGGAAAATGCTGCGCTGCTGGTGACGATGATGGTGGTGATGGTGACCTGACTTTAAATGTTTCACTTCTGTCACTGGTGATTTTAGAAGGTATTTAGTTTGGGGCAGGAAGCTTGACTAAATACCACAGATACCAAATATCTGAAATATTCTATTTTATAAAGTGCCTGGTTGGCAGGCTGGTGCCGGTGGCGTCGAGCACGTCGCCTGGTGTTGGGACCTGGGAAGCCTTCCTTGGAACCGTGCCCAAGTCAAGTTACTATTTAAGATCTGTCCATGAAGGGATCGCCTGTTGACCTGAGTTTCACATCCCACTTTTACCCGCCTTTCAAAATATTTTTAAAGGTGCTATCATTCCTAACAGCCCCACATGGACTTCTCTAAAAACAATTTGATCCCTTGGTCCCGATATTGGTGTCTAACTTGAAGGGGGAAAGCGGAGAAAAGAAATGATGGTAAGAAAGAAATGTGTCTCCCTATTGTGTTCATTTTTTACTAGTCGTGATAATGAATACAATGCCAAGAATTCTGTAACTGTGTTAAAGATGGTTTTCTATACTGGAGAGGAGACTGATTCTTATCTATAGTTAGAAAATCAGAACTTGCCCTGGAGATCCGTGTATCCAGATCTATGGGGATTAGACCTTTCCAGATGTCCTGGCCTTTCATATATAGTATAATATATTCAACTTATGTTTGGTCCTAAATCATAGCCTCATTGGACCCTTGGGACCTTAAAGTATCCTCATATACTTCCCGAGTTAGTATCCATTTCCTGCAGTGAGATCAACCTCATGGTCATGGATGCCAGTGGAAAGAAAACCTTGTGTCTGCCCCTACTTTGAACTGCCCGTAGCTTTAACACCAGTCCCAAAAGTGAGCAAGCGTCTTTTGCTGCAAGCATCCCTAAAAGCATGGCTGCTTCTGGGATTTTTGCCACACTCAAGTTGGATCAGGCTTTTTAGGTCAAGTGCATTTTAACTACTATAACCAATTCATGTTTTATAGGCCATAAAGTTGTTATAGAGCAAGCAGAAGAATATTGCAAAAGCTTTAAAAATTTGTGGCAAACTCATACCATGTGGTAGTGGTTATTCTGATAAATTGCTCATTTCCTACACATTTCATACTATTCCTTCTTGTTGACTCAGAGTTAGTTCCTTTATTTTACATTCATAATTTTAATATTTGCATTATAACTTTTTACTAATATTTGCCATGAATATAAACTATCTAGAAAAAGTATGTTGAAGGATATAGTAGACTTGATGAATTCTTTATATTTTAAAAATATTGGTACCAGCTGTTTGATGATCTTTATTATAGAGTCAAACCAAATTCACATTCCTGTTGAAAAGTGATCATTAATATTCTTGTTACTGCGTGTGTCATGTTATAACCTTCTAAACATAAGTTTCACTCTTCTATTTTTCTAAAAAACCCTGTAAACATGGATTTTGGTAATAAGGTAACCTGCCTAAACAAAGCACATTTCTTCATTAATCACATCCTTTATCACAAGGCATTTTGTTTCTGTAAACCTGGAATCTCATTATCATGGGGGAAAAAAGTGTTGATCCTGCCTTACAAATGAAGAAGACTGGAACTTTGAGTGTTTCACGAAAATAGTTTCTGAAAGGTTAGTTTTTCATGTAGGTGCTTTTTGGACCCAAGATCATATTCAAATGCTATGTATATTCAGTGAGCTTTTGATGTAGCAGTCAGACTATTTTTATGCCCAGTCCTAAACACAAACAGCCCCATTTCTCATAAGTTTTCCCATAATTTAGTTCCTATATTTATTATTTAATTGTACAATTACAATGTTATAACTTTACTTGTGGAATGTTGTACAGACTCTCTAATAGTATAACTTGATATATGCCACAAATGTCTGTTTTTAAGAAGAGATTTAGAGAAATGTGAGAGGGTACATTTTAAATGGGCTGTGGGTCTTAATGCAGTCATCCGTAGCTTCACAATGGGGTTTACATTCTGAGAAATTTGTCTTCAGGCAGTTTCATCGTTGTGCAAACTCAGAGTGTGGCTCCACAAACCTGGATGGTATGGCCCACTAAACACCTAAGCTATATGGTATAGGCTATTGCTGCAACCACCTTTGTGTGTGCAGTCCATGAAATGTCATCATGTGGCAATGACTGTATCTTATTTTGCTTTTCTTGCCAGGTGTTAGAAAATTACTGTCCAGGCAACCCTTTTCTTTAATGCTGTATACAGGTAAAATGTAAAGTTGTCAGCATCAATTATATCAAATGGTATTGGTTCCAGGATTCTAGCCCAAAATTTTGTGGAATTATGATGGAATACTTAAAACCTAGGACATTTCTCAAAACTCCGTAAGAATCACAGAGGGTCCTTTTTAAGTACATAAGAACCACTTGTGGTGCTTGTTAAAGTAACATTCCTCAAGCCGTGTCTGCTGAGCCTTTAATTGAGTAAATCTGGGTAATCTGCATATGAGTCATTCCAGGTGGTCACACTTTTGAGCCAACAGATGTATTAATAATGCTTCTCAAACGTTAGTGTGTGTAAATTGCACTGCAATGTTACTAAAATACAGATTAAAGCTCAGTAGGCATAAGCTAGACCCTGGGACTCTGCATTTCTAACAGACTCCCAAGGTGACGCTGTAGAAACTCTAATTTTGCATCTCAGTTGACCACAAGTACCTTTGCATTTCCTTCTATAATTAATTTTCCATCTTTTTGTTATTGACTATATACATTTGGGCTAGGTTTTCACCTCCTTTCAACCTTCTGTTTGATAGAATTTCAAAATACTTGCCTACCTTGCTTATCTTGCCCTTCGTATTTATTTTCTTTAACGCACGTAGATGGACACCAGTTGCATCTTGAAGTGCCATCAGCTGTAACCAAACTTCCAGCTCCCAAGACGACAGCCAGGCATTCTGGCTCCCGAGAACTGAAGACCATGGAGCTCTCTGACAGCGACCGACCCGTCAGCTTCGGCTCCACATCGTCCTCAGCCTCCTCCCGGGACAGCCATGGTTCCTTCGGCAGCAGGACGACCTTAGTTTCAAATAGCCACTTGGGTTTGTTTAACCAGGATAAGGAAGCAGGGGCCATAAAACTGGAGCTGATGCCAGCCAGGCCTTTCTCCAGCAGCGACCTGCAGAGGGACAACCCCACCAGGCAACAGAACACGGACGAGGCCAGCGAGAGGCAGCCCAGGGCCCAGTGGAGAGTGGACACCAATGGGACACCCAAGACACCTGCAGACTCGGCCACCAGCCCCAAGCTCCTCTACGTGGATAGAGTCGTCCAGGAAATTCTGGAGACTGAGAGGACTTACGTGCAAGATCTAAAAAGCATCGTAGAGGTAAGGCAGACTTCGCTTTTAACGTCTGTCATGCAGGAGAAATATGCTTGCAAAATAAAGAGCCAGGTGTTGGGGACATTCATGTCTCCTAAGATGTAGAAAGTGTGTGAATGTTTACAAGAGAAAGAGAGACCCTAAGGCCGCACTCACTGGGGTTAAAATCCTCTTAATATTTCATTAACAAATCCGTTATGTGTTAGCAAGAACGACGATACTGTGCACGGACCAGAAGGTTGTGTTAATTAATCCTACACTACAGATCTCAGAGTTCCCCACACATAGTAGAGCAGATGAGCATGAAGAAAGACTTTAAGCCTCCTGGTGTGTAGGTGTCAGGTGTATCCAACTGAACCCATCAGCTGTCTTTGCCTTAATCACCGCTCTCTGCTGGTGTCTGGGAGCTTCCAAAACTACTGACACCTGGGTCCCACCCTCAGTGATTTCATTGGCCTGGGGTGTGGCTTGGGCAGCGGAACTGTTGAAAATCCCCAGGTGATTCTAACGATCAGACAAGCTTGGAGTCTCTGTTCTCTCCTGCTCCCAGTCTCGGTTGCTGTATGGGAAAGGCAATGAAAGGTACAGAAAAACTGTGGGCTTTGTCTTGTCTTGGGTGGTTTTTTTCTGGTCACTTTTATGGCAAATGGTTTTACATAAATTATTATAATTCTAAATTGCTTACACAAATTATTCTGTGTGAATTGAGCTCGGTTTATGTACCAGATAACATCCTATGGAAATCATTTCTTAATTTAATTTTGATTTATAGGTAGGTTTTAAAGGATAACGTAAGAATTACTAGAGGAGCTCAGATGTTAACTCATTCTCAATTATAATTAGAATTGTTACTATCTCAAGGGCAAATTTATATATTAAAGCTACACTTGCTTTGCTGCCTAGTAACACACCAAATTCTTTTGTTAGTGCCTATTTCCTGTTTTAGACATTTAATGTAAAAGTGTCCCACGATATAGTAGAATATTTGCTGATGAGCACATTCTCCATCAAATACATTTTATAGCTTTAGGAAAAAAATTCTAAAGCATGATCGTGTGTTGAGTTCCACAAATGATAGAACCAGACATTGTCTACTAAAAATAGTTATGACATACCTTCCCAGCAAAAATAGAAAAGTCAATAGATGGTCAACCAAAACAATATGTGGTACCAAATGTTGAATAAAATAGGCCAATTTCTTAAAAATTCCAACTATGATGTCATTTGTACTTAAATATCCATGAAAGAGCCAAAAGTTTTACAATCTCTCAGGAAACGTATGGTTGTTCAAACTCTCTTTGGTCTGTACTTTTTTCCTTTCTTTCTTGGAAACATTTCCACCTAATCAAAACTCATCTTACTGAGAGAGAAACCATTAGTAACTAGACTGGTATTCCATGAGCACTGTTTTTGTCCTGAGACTGGTTAATAAGGTAAGATATGAATGATAGAAAACAGTAAAGACAGAATTTTTTTTCTAAGAAAGTTTCAGCATAAGTTCTATTTGAAGTTGTCCGAATGTTCTTGCCTTTTCCATGAATTAACCATGTCTTACACTAAGGGTTGGTGAGCTTTCTCTATACACCATCAGAGAGTAAAACTCAGTTTAGGCCTTATGGGCCCTAAGGCTGCGGTCCCCAACCCCTGGGCTGCGGCCCCATATGGTCTGTGGCCTGTTAAGAAAACAGGGCCACACATCACTGCCTAAGCTCTGTCTACCTCCCTCCCTACCACCATCCGTGGAAAAACTGTTTTCCATGAAACTAATCCCTGGTGCCAAAAAGGTTGGGGACCACTGCCCTGAGGTCTGGGTCACGACTGCTCAGCTCTGTCTCCGAAGCGCACAAGCAGCTGTAGACACAAAAAAGGGGCCTGGAGGTTCCAGGAAATCTTTAGGGCCCATTTGGCCCAAGGGCCATAGTTTATTGACCCCTGTCCTAGACCATAACTTTGTGCCACGTTGCATCAGTTGTCAAATGGGACTAATAAACAGTACCTGCCTCACAGGACTATTAAGAGAATTGGGTAATATAGGAAAAGCTGACGCGACAGTGCCTGGCACGTGGTGAGCAATTAATCGAAACTGGAATCATCGCCAGCTTCCTCTGAATTTGTTAGTTAAGAGTGATCACTATTCATACTATGTTTTACCTAAAGTCTTTCACAAAAAATCATCAGATTAGCCAACTCATGACAACAGAAATTTAATTAGAGAAATTTTTTTAAAGGGGTGATTCCAACATTATTACTTTGAATGAACCCACTTAAAATATGAGGCGAAAAGCTAATTAGGGAAAGGAGGGTAGTTGGGGAGGCACCAAGGCAGGAAGAAGTAGATGCCCCCTTGTTCCGGAAGTCACTAGAATGCTTTGCCCTCTCCTCCTAGGAAACTTTGGAATCTCTTCAGATCAGGGGTTGGTCGGTTGAAGCCTCCCCTCCATCTGCTTTGCCTATGTGACCACCTGTTTCTCAAGATCACAACCTTAACAGAGTGGTTCGACCATTTTGTCTAGTTATTTCCTTTGTGAAGAGTAACCAATCTTCCCACCTGCAGCAACTCGACCTAATAAAGACTCACGTGGGTATACTTTTAAAATGGAGTATCAATTCCTTTAAAACCGGTCTTCCTTGACCTTTCTAACCTGTTATAAAAACCTGTTATATAATTATAAAAACCTGTTTTTATAATTTGGTAGATGACTTCTCTAATAGCCTCCATTTTTCAAATGCAGAATTTTAAATTGGGAAGGGGGCTGCTCATTACCTATTGTGATAAGCTCTTCCCATCCTAAAAGATAGATTTTCCTCTTAGTTGATGTGTTCCAGGGAAAAATTACTTCTGGGAGAAAAAAAACAAACAGTCTAATGGTTTCTAGAGATAACTAATAAGTCACCTTTCATTTATACAGTAGCATAATTTCTGACTTTGTGCACTCTGCTTTATTGAATCTCTTCGGTTTAATTAGTTTCCCCCCACAAGCGGTGCATCTCACCTGTGTGCCATGTAGATATATAATCCTCACAGCTCAAGTTCATATTCCATTTTTAGGCTTTGTAAACAGCAACATTTTTGCAAAAGATCATCGAGATACATCCACTGACTTAAGAGACATTAACACAAATGATGATTTAACCTTTCAACGTGGTCCCAATATCAGAGTAGCTCGTTTCCAAGAAGAGAGACTTCTCAACCTTAGCTGGGCAACAGAATTTCCAGATGTTGGTTTCACATGCCAAGGAGGTTGTGTGCCTTTCTTTCCAACATGTAGACACATTGTATTAAAATAATCCTACATATATAGATATTTTTCCTTTCCCATGCCATTTGGGGATTCAGAAATGCATTCCTAATGTTTCCTAAAAGTTTAACTTAAAAATGTGGTTTCTTACTCCTATTGCTCTTTGTGGCTTGCTTTCCCCCAGAGCCTCCTCTCTAGGCCCCTGTCCCCTCTTTCATCTTCTGCTCATCATCCCAACATCCTAGTCATCTCTGTCTGCACACTTGACATTTTAGAGGGAGGTAAAATCTTGCCTATCACCCGTACTCAAAGGAACAATGGGGCTGTTATTTCTGTTTTTATTTATGGCTCCCAAGAGCATTCACAAATAAAATGAGATAATAAATATGAAAGCAAGTTTTAAAAGTTAAAAGTAAAATAGCCACTGATAGAATTTGGGAGAGAGAGTAATCCATAGTTAGAAAGTAGAACATAAGGGTCTCTTTCATGTTTAACAGGACTTTCGACTGACTGAGTAGGGACAGCCACGGGTAGAGTGGGTTTCTTTAATCTTCCCAAATGATCTATATAAAAGAGCCTTTGAGAGCCTCATAAAATTTGGCCTCGGATATAGTTCATGGCCTGTTTTAACCTTTTAGTAAAGTTTTTAAATAGTTTATAATGTTATATAATGCTGTGTAATGAGAAGTTACATTCCTACTACAAAATGGCATCTTTGAGCTCTAAGAGATGCTAAATTAAGTCATCTTTTGGGATGTCGAGGACATGTGTAGTGGGGAAAAAAGTGGGTAAAACGTTAAGTATAACATGATTTTTATTTTTTTTCTATCATATACTAGAGAGCTAAAATCCTTTTCAAGCACCTTTATCCATAAAGTTTGTTAAAAAGCTAAGAAGTATTAGAGCCTCAGTGTTCAAAATTTAAACATCCAATGCTTAAGCATATCTTTGTTAGAAACATTCAGCGTGACTCAGAAGCAGTAGGTAGCTAAACGAGGATTCGAATGGTGATCTGCAGTCCCCCAGTTCTGGTTGTTAGTCTATGTGGACTCTTTGTTTATTGAGTGTACAGACAGTGTCAGGGTAGGTAGAAAGGAGAAGGGTGCTTTTCACACGGTTAGTGACACACATCGAAAGTTCTTCTGCGCATTGCCATAGCTTAGGGAAGAGGCTGCTCTTAGTACTGCAGGGATCAAATTAACTGGAGAACTATCTTATGCTTGAGAAGCAAGCCTTCTCCCAGATTTGTGCAGAATGAGAGAAGGAAACCCCGTAACTGGGCCTGGGAATAAAATAGAATCTGGGTTGGCTTTTGTCCTGGGGCACTCCTCCCCCAGGGGGACACTGGAGTTTGGAGGCAGTTCTGATGAAGCTTGGCTTCCCGTTGATCCTGCTGGAGAGAGACATTGTTTGGTGTGGAAACGGCAGCTTGTGCCTCTGCTCCTCTCTTTCCTAATAAACCATAATAATTAGAGGGGTTCTGGGCATTCCCTGGACCAGCCATAGCTGCTTAGGACACTAGACAAAAAGAGAAAGGTTTTGCATCAAGAAAGGAGGCTGCTGAGAAGAAGGGAATCGTCACAGATTTCGTCTTTTTGTTTGCAGATGTCCCCCTCCATACTTTCCCTCCAGTTTAAATAACATTTATTATCCTGACACTTTTTACAAGGTTCATTTAGACTAAAGTTTTTTTAAATCCTGAGGGGAAACAAAATGTCTTCAATGCTGGAGTGTAGGAGTTGGCGGGGATTGTTTTTAATGAAGCTT